GCTGGGGCATGCGAATGTGGAGAAGCCTGTCGATCCCCATCGACTTGCAGGTATGCGGACTTCGCGTCGAAGGAGCACCCTGTTCAGCCATCCTGAGACATGAGCCCGAGGGTGACCATCAGTGCGTTCGACTAGCCCGTAGGCGCGTCGCTACGGATGTCGCTACGGATGTATGCCGAACGTTCTTGGCAGCCCTGATCCACCAACCTTGGTTCGAATTTACATATCCTCATCTGCTTGTGCGTGACCACCCAGCGAGGACAAACCACCTTCGCGCCGTTGGTCAAGTGCTTCTTGAGCAGCTCGTTGCGGCGTCAAACGCCACCCACGCGTTGCCTCCCGAAACGGCGAAATGGTGTCGATAGCGACCTCCTTGGAGCGAGCCGCCTTCGTCAGAAAACATCCGCGAACACCTTCCACCTGCAAGATACGGGTGTGTCTCGCTCTCTTTGGTGATGGTTGGCCATACTGGCCACGTCCTGGTCTCTTCTCGTAGCTCATCTGCCAGGGCCACCTGCTTGGCGTGCGGTTCCGCCTGATGGGGTGTCGTCGAGCGGGTCGTACAGAACAGGCCTGAACGGTGTGGGGTACGAGGCAGGGGAGGCGGTTGTCGATGCCGATGCCAGTTGGGCCGAACTCGATGAGGTCGCTACTCCTTGGTTCAGATCGTTCTCGTACCCAAGCTGCTCGCTCCACCATGAAATACATATTCATCCTGATGCCGCTCGTCACCTCGTTCCTGCTGTCGAACTCCTGGAACACGTACTCGTACGTTTTTTGTTCCTCGCTTGCTTGCTCGATGTTCGTGGACTCCTAGGGCCTGGGGCCCAGCTGGGGCGCCTCGTCCGGGAAGTGACAAGGAACATGGTCGAGATCAGGTAGGTTGTGATGCTGTGCCTGCGGCTCAAGCGGCTGCATTTGCTGCGGCGTCTCGTCGAAGATTACCGTTCGCTCTTGCCGAGGCTGCTGGTGAGATAATGGTGAGGGTGGTACCTCGCGTAGGTGGTGTCCTCGTACTTCGCACCGCTCTCGATGCCGTCGAAACCAAAGTGTCGTTCAGCTTGGCCTCCAGAGCCTTTCGTACACATGCTGGTCGAACTCCATGCTTGTGTAGTGAGTTGGCCTTCCGCACTCTCGCCCTGTGCTGTGCTGCTGTGCCCGATCGGAGACTCCTCCATGACTGATGCCGCACTGCAAACTCGGCGCTTTGTCCGACCTCCGTCTTGACGTTGCCGGCGCCGTGGTAGCATCTCGAGCGCTGCAGTCCTCTGAGACATGACGCGCACGTGTCCATATCGCAGACCTGGCACGGGAAACGGCAAGCAGCAAGCCTTCTTGCAGCACGCCGAGTATGCACCTGTGGTGGTGTGCGCTCCCGTCGTCGCGGACTCGGTTCCGGTCACCGTCGACATAGCCCAGGTGATAGGTTTAGCAAAGTCCTGACAGTTGATCGGTCCAGCTAAAACACTTGGCGACTCGATCACCGCTGGGAGGTCCTGACCTTTCCCCAGCCGTCCTGCGGGCGTGAGCGAAGACTCGAGCCCCGAAGGGGGATCCTGGCCTTCGAGCCGTATGGCGGCCGTCGTGGAGCTGGCTGCCGCCCTGGAACCGCACGCCGAGGCCGCGATGGCGCAGACCTTGAGGACCAGGGCGGAAGCTCCTCCTTGCCCGCGTCCGCTTCTGCCAGCGCCTTGTGCTACATCTCTGGCTTGAGCTTCTGAGGCGAGGTGGCGGTTCTCCGAGTCCAGTAGCTGCTGCGAGCCCGAGCCCACGGTAAGTTTTATCCTTGCGATGCCGATGTTCGCGCCGATCGCCTCCAGGAATTCGCGGCCGAGGAAGAGGCCGAGCTTGTCGCTATTGTCCACACCCGCACCATCACTGGCGTGCCCGCCACCATGGCCAGGAACCTGAAAGTTTCGTAGGATTGGAGGGTGCCGTCACTGCCCTGCTCGCGATCGATCATGCAGTCGATGTCGAGCTTCTTTGCCACCGCGCCGTAGGCCTCCCACCAGACATCGCCCATCACCGAGATGACGCACTCGGTGTAGACCACGCCTCGTAGATGGTCCTTGACCCGTCACACCAGCTCACAGCGTAGCACCTCCCTGATCTGCTCTTTCGTGTCGGCCCTCGCGACCTCCAGCGCGTTGTTGTGGGAGTCGGAGTCTCCGGCCGCCGTCGCGAACGCCGTGCTCAGGTCGCCAGAGACGGGGGCAGCAAACGGAGGCACGGGGAACGCCGATTTCCACGTTTGGCTGTGCCCCCGTTTAGGGGGCCCTGGGCGCCGTACACAGGGGCACAGTAAACGGGGGCATATGAAAACCTAAGCCCCCGTGTAGCCAAACCCTCGTTTAGGAATCCCCGACGTGCGAGGGGCTTCGCAATCCAGGCCTCCTTCCCGTAGTCCCTTCCTGCCGCTTTGCCTTCTGCAGGTCGATGTCTCGCCCTGCGATATATTAGAGGCTGCCGCCTCTGCCGCTGGCCCCAGACGGGGGGATCTCGTTGGTTTCCCTCGGGTCGGTTGAGGATGTCGGGCGGGCTTCATGGGTGGGTTGTTCGGGGGCACACGCGCGCCGTCTTGTGGTACGTGGTACGTTTAGGAGCCTGTTGGGCCGTCTTCGGCGGATCCTGGTGGGCCGTCTTCGGCGGAGCTCCGTAGGGTGGGGTGCCGGGGCGTGGTGGGGGGCGCGGTGGGGGGTGTCGTTAGGTTTCGGGCGAGAAATTGTCGTGTGGGTGGTCCGAAGAACGGAGCTCCCGTGGGGTGGGGTGTCGGGGCGTGGTGGGGGGCGCGGCGGGGGGTGTCCGTAGGTTGCGCGCGAGAAATTGTCGTGTGGGTGGTCCGAAGAACGGAGCTCCGTGGGGTGGGGTGCCGGGGCGTGGTGGGGGGCGCGGTGGGGGGGATGGGAAACTGTCGTGTGGGGGGTCCGAAGACCTGAGCTCCAGTGGGGTGGGCTGCCGGGGCGTGGCGGGGAGCGTAGTGGGGTGTGTCGGTTGGTTTCGGGCGAAAAATTGTCGTGTGGGGGGTCCGAAGAACTGAGCTCCCGTGGGGTGGGGTGCCAGGGCGTGGGGGGGGCGCGGTGCAGTAGGTTTCGACCGGCAAATTGTTGTTTTGGAGAGTCGAAGAACTGAGCTTCCGTGGGGTGGTGTGTCGGGGCGTGGTGGGGGGCGCGGTGGCGGGTTGTCGGTAGGTTTCGGGTGAGAAATTGTCGTGTGGGGCTCCGAAGAACCGAGCTCCCGTGGGGTTGGGTGCCAGGGCGTGGTGGGGGGCGCGGTGGGGGGAGTCGGTAGGTGTCGGGCGCAAAATTCTCGTGTGGGGGGGTCCGAAGAACTGAGCTTCCGTGGGGTGGGGTGCCGGAGCGTGGTGGGGGGCGCGGTGTGTGTGTGTGTGTGTGTGTCTGTGCGTGTGTGTGTGTGTGTGTGTGTGTGTGTGTGTGTGTGTGTGTGTGTGTGTGTGTGTGTTGTGTGTGTGTGTGTGTGTGTGTGTGTGTGTTGTGTGTGTGTGTGTGGGGGGTAGGTTTCGGGCGAGAAATTGTCGTGTGGTGGGTCCGAAGAACTGAGCTCCCGTGGAATGGGGTGTCGGGGCGTGGTGGGGGGCGCGGGTGGGGGGTGTCGGTAGGTGTCGGGCGACAAATTGTCGCGTGCGGGGTCCGAAGAACCGAGCTCCCGTGGGGTGTGGTGCCGGGGCGTGGTGGGGGGCGCGGTGGATTTCGGGCGAGAAATTATCATTTGGGGGGTCCGAAGAATTGAGCTCCCGTGGAGTGTGGTGCCGGGGCGTGGTGGGGGGCGCGGTGGGGGGTGTCGGTAGGTTTCGGGCTTGTTGTGTGGGGGTCCGAAGAGCTGAGCTCCCGTGGGATGGGGAGCCGGGGCGTGGTGGGGGTCGCGGTGGGGGTGTCGGCAGGTGTTGGGCGAGAAATTGTCGTGTGAGGGGTCCGAAGAACCAAGCTCCCGTGGAGTGGGGTGCCCGGGCGTGGTGGGGGGCGCGGTGGGGGGTGTCGGTAAGCGAGAAATTGTCGTTTGGGGGGTCCGGGTCCGAACACCAGAGCTCCCGTGGAGTGGGGTGCCGGGGCGCGGTGGGGGGCTCGTGTTAGGGGTCCGAAGATCTGAGCTCCGCAAGGTGGGGTGCCCAGGCGTGGCGGGGGGCGCGGTGGGAAGTGTCGGTCGGTTTCGGGCGAGAAATTGTCGCGTGGGTGGTCCGAAGAACGGAGCTCCCGTGGGGTGGGGTGCTGGGGCGTGTCCGTAGGTTCCCCGCGAGAAATTGTCGTGTGCGGGTTCCCAAAAACTGAGCTCCCGTGGGGTGGAGTGCTGGGGCGTGGTGGGGGGCGCAGTGGGGGGTGTCCGTAGGTTGCGCGCGAGAAATTGTCGTGTGGTGGGTCCGGAGAATTGAGCTCGTGTGGGGTGGGGTGCCGGGGAGTGGTGGGGTGCGCGGTGGGGTGTCGGTAGGTTTCGGGCAAGAAATTGTTTTGTGGGGTGCTAGGAAGTTTGTAGTTTCACATAGATATATGATTATATAAAATATAATCTAGACTGTCCTGGAGGATCCAGGAAATCCTGCAGCCCTTTGTTGCTCGAGGAAAAGAGCGACCCTCACCTCCCCCCTTTCTCCGCGAGGGGGGTGGGTGCGCGTGCATGGTAGCGGAGCTCGCTTGAGGATCGCGGGCCGCTCCGCACCCCGGCGAGCTCAAGGAGCCCCTCAGCAGCTGGCGGGCCGATCCACGCGAGCGCCGAGAGGACCCCTTGCTAGTCAGAGCTGCGGTCAGACCCGCGCTCTGACAGTGGAGGCCAAGCAGCCACGGAGAAGGCCAAGAAGCCGAACAAGCGAGGAGGCAGGTCGGCGGACACGCGTCAGCACCGCGAGCTCCGAGGGACCGCCTTTAGGAAGCTCAAGGCGTGCGGCAGCAGAGCGCAGCTCACGCAGGAGGAGCGAGCAGCGGTGACGAGGCAGCTGAGAAGCGACATCGAGAGGATAGGGAAGCGTGTCAGCGACGTGCTAGACTATCAAGATGGAGCAGCAGCTGCAGCAACTGGTCGATCAAGTTCAGAGGCTGACGACGGAGAGTCAGAACATGAGACAGGAACTTCAGAACAGAGACGTGACGATCGCAGAGATGCGAGGTCAGCTTCAAGCTCAGCAACAGGCTCAGCAGCAGCGGGTAGCCCCGCGCGGCGAGATGATGGATCCGAAGATTCTTCACAAGGTGAAGCCGTTCGACGGCCACAGGGCGAGTTGGAAGACGTTCAGTTTCCAGTACAGAGCGTACCTGATCGCCCAGGATCGAAGGTACCGAGATCTTCTGGAAAGGTGCGAGGACGGAGCCCAGGAGGTGGACAACGTCAACCTGGACGCGCAGGAGGAAGAGCTAAGCACGCAGTTGTACTACGGCCTGGTCCTGGCGATGCCCGAGGACTCAGTAGGCGAGCTGATCGTGAGGAACAGCCCAGTAGGAGAAGGAGCCGAGTGTTGGAGGAAACTTCAGAAGGAGTACAACCCGAGCGAGGCAGGAAACGTGCTGGCGATGTGGACCAAGCTCACGGACACGAAGTTCGACGCCAAAGAAGACGTGATGGTGAGCATCAGCAAGCTGGACGAGGACATGACAAGGTACCAGAAGATGGCAGGAGAACCAGTCTCGGACCTGATCAAGCGAGGCATCCTTACAAAGGCGCTGAAGGATCACGACGAGCTGCAGAAGCACGTGTTTCGGAACAGCAGTCGGCTAAGTACGTACGAGCTCCTGAGAGCCGAGGTGGTGTCGGCGTTGATGGCAGAGCGAGCGGTTCAGGACGACCCGATGGAGATAGGCGCGCTGAAGGGCGGAAAGAGACCGTGGAAAGGCCGCGGCAAAGGGAAAGACGGCAAGGGCAAGGAGAGGCCACCGAATCCCGACGCCGAGATCGAGTGCCACTACTGTCACAAGAAGGGCCACCGCAGCGCAAACTGCCGAAAGCGGATCGCCGACGAGAAGAATACATCCGAGAAGGACAAGAAGGACAAGAAGCAGCTCCGAAAAGAGAAGGGAAAAGAAAAGAAGAAGATCGGGGCAGCGGCAGTCAGGGAGCTCGAAAGGTTACGACAGGCAGGAGTGGGCACAGGAACAAGTTCGACAGCACCTACACAACAGATGTTGGGAAGTCAAGGAAGCGCCGACAGCGCGATGACTCAGCAGGTGCTGCGCCCAGTCAACTGCGCGCTGCAAGCGAAGATGATTCTGGCCCTGAGGGCAGAGGTCTCAAGAAGCGCAGCCACACGATCGACTGGAAGTACTGCTTGCCTAGCTACCACCAATATGTCTGCTGCTCTTGCAAGAAGACCTTTGAAGGATGGCGATGGCACTTCGATCAGTGGAAGCTGGACTACTGTGCCGCGTGTGCCGAGTACTGCCTGGACAACTGGTTCAAGGACGAGGAAGAGCCAGACGACAACGAGAAGCCAAGACCAAAGAAGCACAAGAAAGACTATCAGTAAGTGCTGCGATGTGCCAGCTGCGGTGAGCCCCGCGCTGGCCGGCCCCAGGCATGTCACCGTCGCTGGTCTTCGGCCCGTGGATGAAGATCAGAGCCCTGCAGATGACCGATTGCGGTTAGCCCCGCTTCGGAATGCGATCATGCTCGACTCAGGTGCGCAGATCAGTGCGATACCGAGATCACAGGTGACCAAGCATAACTACACGCCGACGGACAGCAACGTTGTCGGCTTGAAGGGCATAGGAGGCGAGGAGATCGAGAGGTACGGCCACGTGGAGCTGAACCTATCCCGAGGAGGAGAGGTTATTCAAGTCGGTGCAGAGGTTGCCGATGTGGAGTACCCAGTTGTGGCTACAGATGCTGTAGTACAACGTGGTCAGAGTGTTCTTCATAGCCCTGCAGGTCACTGGATCATCAACGGTACCGTCGAGCCACCTGACGGAGCTGAGTTCGTACCTCTACGGCGTCACCAAGGCAACTACTACTTAGAGTACGATCACATCATCGACGGCCAGACTCAACCAGAAGCTTCAAAGGTAGCTGCGGTCCGAAAGACGCTACCGAGGAAGGTACCAGCTGAACAGGAAGCTGGATCTTTGCCGAAGGTTCTAGGTCCTGAAGCTGATGAGACCACAACTGTGCCAACGAGAGTGTTGAAGACTCCTCACCAACCTAGTGCTGCGGAGAGAGCCGCGCACGAAGGGCATCATCTACCTTTTCGGCCTTGGTGTCCCATCTGCGTGCAGGCTCGAGCAGACGATGACCCACACCACGCTCAGGAACCAGCTGATGAGAACAAGATCCCGAAGGTCATGTTCGACATCTTTTACGTAGGGACGGACCAGCTGGCTGCGAAGTACAAGCTTAAAGGAGGTTACTTCAGCATCAGGGAGAAGATGTCGGTCACGAAGGCCGAGCTAGACCAAGCGGTCTCTGTCTTGAATGTTATCGACTGTAAGATCTTGGCTCAGGCGACGTTGTACGCGAACAAGGAGACGGATGACTACAAGGTGTCCTTCCTGCTAGGCGTGCTGGAAGCTTGGGGCCACACAACAGTCATACTTCAGACAGACCAGGAGCCTGCCACCATGGCTCTGGCGCAGGCAGTTCGAGATCGCAGATCACACTCAACCTTGGTGCGGGGATCACCGCCCTTTTCCAAGCAAAGTGCAGGCTACGCTGAAGGAGCTAACAAGCTAGCAGCTGGTCTACTTCGAGCCTACAAGCTGAAGCTGGAGCACAAGCTGGGCTGTGAGATCAAGATGACGGATCCGATCGTGCCATGGCTTGTGAACTCAGTGGGGTGGATGATTACCAGATTCCAGCCTCGCAGTCACGGAGGTTCCTCCTACAAGATGCTCTACGGCAAAGAGTACAACGGCGAGATTGCGGAGATGGGTGAGCAGGTCTGGTATCGGATCTCAGCCAGAGTTGCCGCGGGACGTGGCAAATGGGAAGCCCGCTTCGCAAAAGGAATCTGGGTTGGTAAGAGTGAGCTGGACGATACACATCTCGTGATCGATCCTGAACGTGGAGTGCAGAAGGTCAGAACGGTGCGAAGGATGCCTGAGGAGTTCAGATGGCAGCCCGAGCTCATCCAGCACATCAGGGTGACGCCCTGGAAGCAGACGCCCGACAAGAGTTCAGGAACGATCGGACGCAGCATGTACATCACGGAGCGCATGATCGATGCTCATGGTCCTACTGACGAGTGCAGGAAGTGCAGTACAGGATACGGTTCGCATTCGGCAGCCTGCCGACAGCGTTTCGAGACCATTCAGGCCGACTTGCTGCGCGAGAAGTTGGCAAAGGACCCTGTGGCCCCTGAGGCTACAGTCGTGGTGCCAGCACCGGCTGCGGGTAGCCCCGCGCCTGGAGCCGCACCAGGAGGAGCAGCGGCATCAAGCAGCAGTGAGGTTGCGGTGAGCCCCGCACCTGCTGCCAGCGACGTAGCTATGGTCCCTGGCCCAGGAGAGGCTGAGGTGCAGACAGCCATGGACACGGAGAGTGGCGAGCTCAGGAGCGACTTTCGGCGAAGTGCCCCAGGTGAAGTTCGTGAAGGAGCTGAGGTCAAGAAGCCCAGGGTAGCAAGCATTGGGCATCTCTCTGTCTGTGAGTTGGCAGTCTGCGAGGAGGGCTACGACGAGAGCTTCGACCCCATGTGGGATCCACACCCAAAGCGCAGTGCGAGATGTTCCGAGAGGTGTGAGAAGCACTCGTCACGATGCCAGCTACGAGAATGCCACCAAGCTGAGTGTGCATGCAGGAGATGTTTGATGAGCCACATCGGCACAATCAGGAGCCACTTCGGAGATCCTGAGGATCAGCAGGTGGAGCAGATGGTTGAGGTGAGCGCCGAGCTGCATGAGAAAGACCAGTGGAGCCCAAAGACGATACACTACGATTACTATACTGGAGAGCCTCTGGATGAGGACCTGTATCAGAAGGGTCGCGACGACGAGCTGCAGGCCATGAAAGACTACGGGGTCTACGTGGAAGTGGCGACATCGACGGCGACTGACGGCAAGCACATTGGAGGTTTCCCGATAGCCCACATGAAAGAAGGAAAGGTCAGGTGGAGGTTCGTAGCAACCGAGGTGAACAAGTACGAGGTCAGGGAGGACAACCACCAAGGCACGCCCCCGCTCATGATTGTCAGAGCGACGCTGAGCCGTGCCGCTTCAAGTCCAACTTCCAGCGGGCAGCACCTGCGGAAGATACAAGTCTGGGACGTCAGGAAGGCTTTCTTCAACGCTGACTTAGACGAGACGATCTACGTGCATCCTGGGAGAGAGCTGTGTCCGCCTGGAAGGTGCTGGTGGTTACGCAAGGCCATGAACGGTACCAGGAAGGCGTCGCAGATGTGGGGTGAGCTTGTGAGAACTACTATGGACGACGGCCATTGGGAATGCTTGGTTGGAACTCCTAACGTGTTCTACTTACCTGCTAGCCCCAACACAGCCCCCTTCGACGAGGATAGCACAGCGATCTGCCATGGCGATGACTTTCTTGCTGAAGGCTACGACGAGCAGCTGGACGAGCTGGACGAGTTGTTGAAGCAGCAGTTTGAGGTCACGGCCAGCGCCAGACTTGGACCAGGAGCGGTGGGGCAGACTACATACCTCAAGAGGACGATCGGCTACACCGACAAGTTGCCAGGTTGCGAGGAGCCAGGTTTCTTCTGGACTGCCGATCCCAAGCATGTGGACTTCATGATCAAGTGGACGCAGAAGCGAGGTTGTAAACCAGCTCCTACTCCAGGAACGAAAGCTACAGGACAAGGCCGACGAGACAGCCTAGACCTTCTTTCCAAGGATCGTGCTCGAGAAGTGGCGGGTGCAGCAGGCACCGCTCTTTACCTTTCTTCGGACAGGCCCGACACGATGTACGCCAGCAAGACAGCGATGCAGCACGTCTCCAACCCGAACGTCTTGATGCATGCGCGTGTTCAGCGACTTGGAAGGTACTACGAAGGACAGCCTGTTTTGGTCTGGTGTTACCCACTTCAAGGTACTCCTGAAGGCATTCGTGTAGATGGTGATGCGGATTGGGCACCTACGAGTGAACTACAGCGGCGATCTACCAGTGGAGGAGCTGTGAGGTATGGCGACCACACTTGGGACTGCTACTCAGTGACGCAGAGTACGATAGCCCTAAGTTCAGGGGAATCCGAGATGTATGCTACGGGAAGTGCGACAGCCAGAGGACTTCAGTGTAAGACTTACCTGATCGAGACCCAGAGGCCCTGCAACCTGAAGATCTATAGTGACAGCACAGCTGGACGTGGCATGTGCAGCCGAGTTGGGGTGGGCAAGGTCAGGCATCTGGAGCTGAGGTACTTGTGGATTCAGGAGCGGTTGCGTCTCAAGGCGTTCGAGCTTCACAAGGAGGACACCAGCAAGATGACAGCCGACATGCTCACGAAGTACAGCGAGTGGCCGACAATCGAGAAGCATTGCACCACTCTCAACCTCAGGTTCGGAAAGCAGATGACGGGCTTGAGCGCAATGGCAGTTTTCACGGAGGTCGTGACGAAGGCGTCAGGCGAGAAGGTGACAGTGTACGGAGGATCTGACGAGGTTGCGGTTTGCCCCGCGCCTGTCAGCCACTATGTGGAGAGCGAGGAGTTCAGGTTCTACTTGATGTTGGGACTTGTTATGGTGACTGCAGCGAGTACTTTCTTATTGGGGTGCTGGTGTGGTTGCTACTTCAAGAACTTCTACGACAAGTTCCTTCCTCCAGGGTGCGGTTAGCCCCGCCTCTGGAAGCACTTGCCCACCATCTGCGCGGGCTGACGTCGAGTTCAAGACCGTGTGTGCACAGCAGGACAAAGGTGCAAGGCACAAGCTCTTAAACACGTTTCTTGTGGCTGAGCTGCGAGCTGTCTTGAAGGCCAAGAGCCTGGCCGTGTCAGGGATCAAAGAAGACCTGGTCACGAGGATGATCAAGCACGGAGGTGTTCTGTCGGATCGCCAGGCCAAGGAGATCGAGCAGCTGCGGGTGATGGCTACAGCGCATGGACCTCTTGCCAAGCTTAGCTTGCAGGACATCAGCAGTCCAGAGGCTGCGCAGAAGTGGATCGAGACGTTCAAGGGCGAGTGCCGAGACCGTTCCAGAGGCTCTCAGGTGATCCACGGAGAGGGCTAGGAGAATGGTCGCAGGAAGCACTACGACGGCCGAGGGTGAGCTTTGTTTTACAGGCTGCGGTTTGCCCCGCGCCTGCCCTCAGCGGGTAGCCCCGCGATGGGTTTAGGGGGCCAGCGCCGTTGCGACGCCTGCCCAGGGAGCACAAAGAGGCTTCCCTGTGGCTCACTTTTCTTGGCTGGAGGCCGAGCCGCTTCCAGCGCCCAAGGAGAGGTGCTAGGAAGTTTGTAGTTTCACATAGATATATGATTATATAAAATATAATCTAGACTGTCCTGGAGGATCCAGGAAATCCTGCAGCCCTTTGTTGCTCGAGGAAAAGAGCGACCCTCACCTCCCCCCTTTCTCCGCGAGGGGGGTGGGTGCGCGTGCATGGGGGGTCCGAAGAATTGAGCTCCTGTGGGGTGGGGTGCCGGGGCGTGGTGGGGGGCGCGGTGGGGGGTGTCGGTAGGTTTCGGGCAAGAAATTGTTGTTTGGGGGGTCCGAAGAATTGAGCTGTCGTGGGGTGGTTATCGGGGCGTGGTGGGGTGCGCGCTTGCGGGTTGTCGGTAGGTTTCGGGTGAGAAATTGTCGCGTGGGGGGTCCGGAGAACTGAGCTCCCGTGGGGTGGGGTGCCGGGGCGTGGTGGGGGGCGCGGTCGGGGGTGTCAGTAGGTGTCGGGCGAGAAATTGTCGTGTGCGGGGTCCGAAGAACTGAGCTCCCGTGGGGTGGGGTGCCGGGGCGTGGTGGGGGGCGCGGTGGCGGGTGTCGGTAGGTGTCGGGCGACAAATTGTCGTGTCGGGGGGTCCGAAGAACTGAGCTCCCGCGAGGTGGGGTGCCGGAGCGGGGTGGGGGGCGCGGTGGCGGGTTGTCGGTAAGTTTCGGGCGAGAAATTGTCGTTTGGGGGGTCCGAAGAACTGAGCCCCCGTGGGGTGGGGTGCCGGGTGGTGGTGGGGGGGGCGCGGTGGGGGGTGTCCGTCGGTGTCGGGCGAGAAATTGTCGTGTGCGGGGTCCGAAGAACCGAGCTCCCGGGGGGTGGGGTGCCGGGGCGTGGTGGGGGGTGTCGGTAGGTTTCGGGCGGCAAATTGTTGTGTTGGGGGGTCCGAAGAAGTGAGCTCCCGTGGGGTGGTGTGTCGGGGCGTGGTGGGGGGCGCGGTGGCGGGTTGTCGGTAGGTTCGGGCGACAAATTGTCGTGAAGGGGGTCCGAACGTGTGAGCTCCCGCGGGGTGGGGTGCCGGTGCGTGGTGGGGGGCGCGGTGGGGTGTGTCGGTAGGTTTGCAGGTCGATGTCTCGCCCTGCGATATCCTTCAGAAGCGCCGGGCCGGCTCCCGTCCCCGCGGCCCAAGGCATCACCGGCTCCTGGCGAGGTCCTCCCCGCGGAGCCAGGAGGACTTCCCGCGTAACTTGCCACGGCCGTTGGACATGAAGGGATCGGTTCGGTCCGGCTTGGTCCGTTTCTGTAGCCGGTTCGGTCTTGCTTGGTCTTGCTTTGACACCGTGGTTCGGTTTCGGCCGGTTCGGTTTGGGTTTGGCTCCGGTTCGGTTCGGTTCAATGTTCGGTCCTTGTTGGATCCCCCCAGTTGGTTTCGTTCTTACCCTCGGTTCGGTCCCACTGGTTCGGTGCGCTTCGATTGGTGGTTCGATTTGGTCCGACCTTTTCTGGTTCGGTGCGATTAGCGACGTTGGGCGCCCAAGTTGGATTTTCCACCATCACGCCTGTGGGTGCGCCCGCTCACCTCGAGGGCCTCTGGCAGGTGGGAGACCTGCAGGGCAGCCTCCTCCAGGGCGGCACTCTGCCCGGCTTGGGGGTCGATGTCGGCCTCCTCGAGCTCCGTCGCAAACGCCTCGAGCTCCTGGCGCGAACCACTGGGTCTCACCGACCTCGACCTCATTCACTTCGTTGGTGCCGTCGTCGTAGTCGCCGTGCTCGTCGTGCTCCTCCTGGTAGGCTTCATTGCCCTCGGCGTCGTGGTCGTCCTCGCGCTCGGTCGCGTTGACGCCCTTGGGGCCCGATGAACCACTGCCCGTGAAACGCGTTGGACCTTTCTGCGACGCCCCCCGCGCTGCTGCTGCTGAAGTCGTCATTGGGGAGTCGACATTCTCGTCTCGTTATCATGCTGATCCGGGAAGAGAGATGCGGATCACGATGGTCTTATTATCTTGGTAGGCGTAGCGGTCGTCCGGGAGGTACGAGACCACGCGCCGCGCTCCTTCTTGGCGGCTGAGAGACTACACTTTTCTCAGAACCACCACGCCAGGATATAGTCTTGGTCTGCAAACCTCATTCCGTCGTCCTCGAGCTGTTGAACACCTTCCTCGAAACACGCCGCGTAGACGGTCATTCGCCTGTCCTTCGGCTGTAGCGCACGCCCTTGGAGAAGTCGCCAATGGTTTCGCCTTTGCGCATTGAGCGCTTCCTCTTACGTGGTCGGCCGGCTATGCCGCTATGCCTCTTCGATCACCGTGCTGTCATCATCGAGCTGTGCCAGCTTGGCGAGGATGGACCGGGATGTGCTGGAGTTGGTCCCGAGGAATTCTCAACCCCGCCCAGCGGGCAGCCCCTCGCAGACGCCAGACCAGCCGCTCCGCCACGAAGTTAATTCACTTCCAGGTTTGTATCCTGCGTCCGTATCTCCACGTCGTCACAGTACCGCCTCCAGCCCTGGGGATCCCCATCCCAGACTGGGATAAGGCTGTAGCCCGACTCGCCTGCGCCGAGCTGGTCTTCACGATGAGCTATCATTGCTGTCGTAGGCTCGTGCAGTCCCTGACGCCGTCTTAGACCGTCGATGTAGTATGTCGAGACCGAAACAGTTCCCGACGCCGTTGAGACCGAAGTAGTTCCCGACACTGTCGAGACCGTTGGAGTAGTTCCCTACGCTGTCGAGACCGAAGATGTTGTTCCCGATGCTGTCGAGGCCGTTGATGTTGTTCCTGCGCTGTCGATTCCGTGGATGTTGTTCCCAACGCTGTCGAGACATTTGCTCTGCCCGCCTCAATCGGGCTCCGCTATAACTGGCGGAGTCGGGGGAGCTCTTTTGCACCAGCCCGCGTTTCGGGTCAAATCGCTGGCGCCTGGCACGGGCGCGACCGTATGATTGGTCAAGGGCTTTGTTGGGGCCAGAACGGCGGCGGGTCAGCATCAGCATCAGGAGAGGATGAGCATCGTGTGGGGAAGGACAGGAGGTATTCGCGGGCTCCGTTACCTGCTTATTCTTCTTGCCTCCTGACTCCTACCTCATGCAGCCTTTTCTCCGAACCCATGGTTACCAGCTCAACCTTCCAAGCGTTACTGGGCAGATCCGAGCAGCGCGTATCCCCGTTCCCCCCCATGCGTGTCCCAGCGAGTTTGGGTTTCTCCCAAGCGTGAAGTGGCAGTTCTAGGCAGCGTTCATTTTTATCTTGTCCCAAGCGTACCCCGAAATATCTGGGCAGCGCGCATCTCCGTTTGTTTCTTTCCAGGCGTGGTACCGAGTATCTGGATGACGGGAAATCTTGGCACGTCGAGAGACGCCGACTGCCAGTGCTAGAATCCCGCTTCTCTCGGGACCATGCTTTGAGCTGTCGATTTTGGCGACTCCGAGAGCCTCATCGGCAGTGAACTGTTTGAATGCATCGGGATTGCATGTTAGAGATTCTTCCCTCAACATCCCTTAGCCTCACCCTGTCGCAGTCCTGATGACAGCAGAGCAGATCCCGCACAGCCACAAGGCCAGTACTGCACAGGACACGGGAGGAACAAGCATGCACAGGTTCCTTGCAACACACAAACTCACAACACGCACCGAACCACAACACAGCACAGCACAACACGCACAACAGCACAACACGCACAACAGCACAACGCAAACGCAACACAACAAAACAAGGCACAGCACCACAACACACCCACACAGCCCGAATGCCATCATTCAGACGCCGTCCGTCCTCCAGCACACCAAACTGACAGGCTTCCTGCAGGCTACTTGACCAGGCACAGTTGGCCGATCGACCAATGATACACGCGGATGACGATGCCTGCAGGTTCATTTGCGACCTTCTCGATCAGTCTTCGCCTTTGCTTGCCGCGCACCTAGCTCCAGACCGCCACGCGAGTGCTGCCGCACGCAGAGTTCAATCTTTCTTCCTTCGATGCCCTGTGGCATGCCAGTCATCCTCGTCGTGTCTCACCCAGCCCACAATGTGTCGCATCATTTTCCGTTGTACTCCATCGAGTTTTTCCATCTGCGATGTTGTAAGCGGAGTTGTTGAAATATTGTGCAAGATTGTTGGGCTGACGACGACGTCGAACAATCTTAGAATCTTGCGGTTGAGCAGGGTGTGGTGCAGTTCATGGAAGCGCATTCACGCACACGACAGACGATGATCAAGTTTTCTCTGCCCCCGCGACGTCAGATCTTCCGGCAAAGACGTTCCAACATATATTTGTGGGAAAAACTTGCCCTGATGACGTCCACGAACATGCCCGCGATGTCAACCAGCAGGGGCGTTGACCCATCGGATATGGCGGCATCTGTCGTAAGTTTGGCTTTCGATCCATCTGCCGCAAGGCCAGCTTTCGAAACTTCCTCCAGCGCGGTCATCTTCTCGATCTCGCACAACGATTTCGCAAATAATATGAGATCATCCGCGAAGCGGATGTTCGTCAGCCTGTCAGCGGCGTCGCCAGATAGCTGGAAACCATGCTCAGCAATCAAGCGCATCTTCCACGGGTGCATGACGACTTCGGTTGCTGCGTTGTGCAAAAGCGGGATCAACAAGTCCCCTTTGTTAAACTCCACGGCGGATCGAAATCGAAGTGCTGTCGACAATGCCCACCTGGCCAGAATATATGCATTTCAACAGGACCATATACTTGTATGGCAATCCAGGCTCTGTTAGGGAGTTCAGTAAAGCGCTGTGCTCGAGCTTGTCGAAGGCCTCGCGGCTCTTCACCAACAACGAAAAATTCCATTCCAGGGATGCCCCGACCATGCACTCGAGGGTGAGCCTCGTTGACTCCGCAAGCTATCCTGAAGCCCATC